TTGTTTTAAAATATTTAAAACTTTATATTATATTTTCCTTATATTCAGTGAATATAACTCATATGAAAGAGAGGGACATTCACTTACGTTAAGTTAGGCAATGATAGGAATACTTAAATGATGTGAATAACAATTCTATTGAATCCCATTATTATTGTTACCCAATATCCCATACATCTTGACAGTGGATATATTGATATATAGACTCAACATCAAGAATAAAACAATAAATTAGTCAAATAAACACCATTTGTTAAGAATAATGCATATAAAATGTCAATTTACTAAAAATAAACCGATGTAGCTGTTTATAGAAATATTCCGGAATTTAATATATACTTATAGAAATAAAGTAATATAAATAACAGAATTGACAATGATCAGTTTATTGATGATATTCAACATTTCAATTATTCTCTAATTCATAAGAATTATTTAAATGGAAATTCAATATTAAGGAAGTGATGGCAATAATTTGTTTTTATACCTGGATGAGATATATTTAATAAAACATTAATGAAATAATTATAATAATTAAACAAATTAACATTAAAATAATATAATTTAGTGATTGCGTTTTGAATAATTATCTCGATTATATCAAGATTATTTATGATTTAAATAATAGTTTTAGATTAAATGAACAGTTTTGGTTAGATTTACTGTTTGGTTGGGGTTTGAGCTAAAAATCGATAAATCAATTTACAAAATTTAATGTTGGGTTTTATCAGTTTATATACTCTACTATATAAGGTGCAACCCCTCTATAAGAAACGGGTAGTTGCATAAAAAGAGTGTTTCTTTACCTTAAAAGGAATTTCTTATAGAAAGGTTTAACTGTTCACGAATGCCTTTTCCGATTCTATCAAATTATTATTAAACATCAAAATAAAGGTAAAATTATTTGTTATATGGATAATATTATTTTTAACATCAATTCGGCAATTAAAATTAAGGTTTATAAGTCGGCACCTGGGTGCTTTTTCCAAACTGAGGTCAACCTTTGGCGTTGCTAGCAAGTTTGTTCTGACATAAATAAATTTACACTAAAACTACTGTAAATTTATATAAATTATACTTTATTGATAATTTGTTGACAATAAATAATATTTGGAAAATTCTATAAATATATAGAATGTTTAGAATATTTTATTTAGTAATCATTGTTCTTAAACAACTCACACAGCGATGCTATACATTAACCACAATTCGGGAATGCATTAAAGATTTGTCAATGCTATTGTAGGATACTTTAAATATTTTTATTTTCAGAATTTTAAATATTTTAAACAATAATTAGTGTTATTATATTTGTCAGATTCGTGGCTAATATATTTCCATAGGAAAAGCATTATCTCTATACAAAAAGCATTATTCCATTGGAATAACATTATTTCCATAAACTTTACATTACTCATAGGATTAACATTAGCCCAATGTTAAAGTATACACATAGGATTAACATGGAATCCCATGTTATTTCCCATAGGGTGGGGGAGGGGAGGAGTAGCGTCACGATCCTATAAACCACATTATTTATATCTGAATTGTGGTTAAAATCCTTTGTATAGTAAGTATGAGCTTAATGTCTTTATAACGTAATACCATTGGTATCGTAATTCTGGACTCTCTATATTTTAGGTTTTCTTCGAGCCTATACTTATACTCCCCATACGTATGCTTATTGAACAATAAATTCATAAATACGTACACATAATATATGGACGAAAAAACCCAAAATATAGAGTCCAGAATTACGATATTAGTACCAATGGTATGTTTAGCAGTTATTTCAATATTGTTTTTCAATTTAATGTTTAAAATATCGAAAATATTTATATAGAATATTTGTAGTAAATTATTGCTAATAATGAATAGAAACAAATATTGTTAATATGTTAATGACTGTGTATTGGAACTAAATATGGACAATTTCCTATTGAACAGAATACTGTATACGTTATACACTGAATATTAGCGAATGCTATCAATCAATCAATTATACATTTCTCATGATTTGATTACAACATCAAATGCAATACTTAGAAATTCACTGAAACCATTACTGTACTGAACATGATCCAATTCAGGTATTGTATTCGGTCGAATGCAACTCCAATACTGTATACGACAGTAAAAATACTGTAGTACTGTATTATCTTAATATTATTACAATTAACTACTCTATGTATACCATGGTTGTTTTAAACAGACAATTTTTTGCAGCATTTAATACAAACAGAATTTAAATGAAACATTACATCACAATAGTTGCAATGGTTGACTGGTTTTAAGTCTTATAAGTTATAACTTGTAAATCGCTTAATGAAGAACCAAACAATTGTATCAATAAAAATACCATTTTTATTCATTTAAAGTACAAATAGTCAACATTTATAGTAAGAATTTTTTGACAAATACTATTATTATTATAAAATTCGTTTATATAAGTTATTTTACGGACATTTAGTTATCAAAACATCAACAGAAATACTTGTAATAAAACTTTAAAAACTTTATAATTTAAAAATCGTTATAAAAATCAATTATCATTCCATTGAGAATGCAATTGAATTAAGTGTTTAACAGCTCTTTCACTTATATTGAGCGCCGGATTGACAGTCAATAAACAATTATTAATTGAATTTAAAGCCAATCCACTTAAACCCAAGTATGTGTGCATTGGATCTGATTGTATGACAAGAATANCTTACGTTAAGTTAGGCAATGATAGGAATACTTAAATGATGTGAATAACAATTCTATTGAATCCCATTATTATTGTTACCCAATATCCCATACATCTTGACAGTGGATATATTGATATATAGACTCAACATCAAGAATAAAACAATAAATTAGTCAAATAAACACCATTTGTTAAGAATAATGCATATAAAATGTCAATTTACTAAAAATAAACCGATGTAGCTGTTTATAGAAATATTCCGGGATTTAATATATACTTATAGAAATAAAGTAATATAAATAACAGAATTGACAATGATCAGTTTATTAATGACATTCAGCATTTCAATAATTCTCTAATTCCTAAGAATTATTTAAATGGAAATTCAATATTAAGGAAGTGATGGCAATAATTTGTTTTTATACCTGGATGAGATATATTTAATAAAACATTAATGAAATCATTATTAATATTAAACAAATTAACATTAAAATCATATAAATTTAATGATTGCGTTTTGAATAATTATCTCGATTATATCAAGATTATTTATTATTTAAATTTTAAATAATAGTTTTAGATTAAATGAACAGTTTTGGTTAGATTTACTGTTTGGTTGGGGTTTGAGCTAAAAATCGATAAATCAATTTACAAAATTTAATGTTGGGTTTTATCAGTTTATATGCTCTACTATATAAAGTGCAACCCCTCTATAAGAAACGGGTAGTTGCATAAAAAGAGTGTTTCTTTACCTTAAAAGGAATTTCTTATAGAAAGGTTTAACTGTTCACGAATGCCTTTTCCGATTCTATCAAATTATTATTAAACATCAAAATAAAGGTAAAATTATTTGTTAATATTATTTTTAACATCAATTCGGCAATTAAAATTAAGGTTTATAAGTTCACTCAACACCTAGGTGCTTTTTCCGAACTGAGGTTAATCTTTGGTGTTGCTAGCAAGTTTGTTCTGACATAAATAAATTTATACTAAAACTACTGCTATTGTAAGGATACTTTAAATATTTTTATTTTCAGAATTTTAAATATTTTAAACAATAATTAGTGTTATTATATTTGTCAGATTCGTGCCTAATATATTTCCATAGGAAAAGCATTATCTCTATACAAAAAGCATTATCCCATAAACTTTACATTAATCATAGGATTAACATTGTCATAGACTTCACATTACCCATAGGATAACATTAGCCCAATGTTAAAGTATACACATAAGATTAACATGGAATCCCATATTATTTCCCATAGGTGGGGGAGGGGAGGAGTAGCGTCACGATCCTATAAACCACGTTATTTATATTTGAATTGTGGTTTGAATTGTCCTTTGTATAAGTATGAGCTTAATGTCTTTGTAACGTAATACCATTGGTATCGTAATTCTGGACTCTCTCTATTTTAGGTTTTCTTCGAGCCTATACTTATACTCCCCATACGTATGCTTATTGAACAATAAATCCATACAATAGTACACATAATATATGGACGAATAAAACCCAAAATATAGAGTCCAGAATTACGATACCAATGGTATGTTTAGCAGTTACTGTATTTCAATATTATTTTTCAATTTAATGTTTAAAATATCGAAAATGTTTATATAGAATATTTGTAGTAAATTATTGCTAATAATGAATAGAAATAAATATTGTTAATAAGTTAATGATTGTGTATTGGAACTAAATATGGACAATTTCCTATTCAACAGAATACTGTATACGCTATACACTGAATATTAGCGAATGCTATCAATCAATCAATTATACATTTCTCATGATTTGATTACAACATCAAATGCAATACTTAGAAATTCACTGAAACCATTACTGTACTGCATTATACTGAACATGATCCAATTCAAGTATTGTATTCGGTCGAATGCAACTCCAATAGAGTATACGACAGTAAAAATACTGTAGTACTGTATTAATATTATTACAATCAACTACTCTATGTATACCATGGACCATGGTTGTTTTGAACAGACAATTTTTTGCAGCATTTAATACAAACAGAATTTAAATGAAACATTACATCACAATAGTTGCAATGGTTGACTGGTTTCAGTCTTATAACTTATAAATGCTTAATGAAGAACCAAACAATTGTATCAATAAAAATACCATTTTTATTCATTTAAAGTACGAATAGTCAACATTTATAGTAATAATTTTTGACAAATACTATTATTATTATAAAATTCGTTTATATATTTGACGGACATTTAGTTATCAAAACATCAACAGAAATACTTGTAATAAAACTTTAAAAACTTTATAATTTAAAAATCGTTATAAAAATCAATTATCATTCCATTGAGAATGCAATTGAATTAAGTGTTTAACAGCTCTTTCACTTATATTGAGCGCCGGATTGACAGTCAATAAACAATTATTAATTGAATTTAAAGCCAATCCACTTAAACCCAAGTATGTGTGCATTGGATCTGATTGTATGACAAGAATAATCATTTAATATATTAAGTATTAATTGATATCAATTCATATCAAACCTGGAATACTATCGGGATATTTGGCGAGTCCTCCAGTAATCATGTCCTGTGTGTCTAATATAAAGCTAGTGTTCAATTCGGTGTTAACTAAATGGTAACCATTGATCAGTTTGAGAGCCCCTCCCAACCAAAACGAATAGCAAGTGTCGGCGTCCTTATTAGGTCTGCCCTGAAAGCCATTGGTTTGCCTGAAAAGGCACCACCTTTTCAAGGAAGACAATTGTTTATCACTTAATTGCGATAATTCGCCCATAAGTGTCAGCGCAGCCAAAGCGCAATACGTGGACCCGCCGTGACTTTCCAGACCAGGCGACTGACCGAACCCACACTCATAGGTCTGTTAATGAGTATAGAAAATATAAGTCAATTTCATATGCAATCGTAATGACAGTCGAGAATACGAACGAAACTATTTCTTATAAATGAGACAATCTTTTGGCGATCGATGGCTGACCAGTCGTTAAGGATATACGAGACAGTCGTCGCACAGTAAACGAATCGCATGTCATTCTCCTTCTCATAGACAACGGGAACAAAACTATCGACAAAAAAGTTATCACTTTTAGCGTGTATTTCGAGTGTCGACTCTTTCATATCATATCATACCTGCCATCACTCAACTGATGCTCTTTTAAGCCGTCGATAATCTTCTTCTTGTCGACCCGTTTCAGGTCATCGCCGAGTATTAGTAGCGAAGAGAGGGCACAATAAGTCATCGCAAGGTTTCCGCAATCGTAAGGGTTGTCCATACCATTGGCTGCCGAACCCCTAAACCCATGGCGACCGCAATGACCGCCGCTTTCATTATCTTATATTCAATTCACAAATTAATTAAATTAATTATTTCAACAAAACGTGTCATTTAAACAAACTTTTAGTGACCAGAATCTGCAACGAATAGATCCATTCAATTATGTCCCGCTTCTGGGGTTCAATCAAATGAAGACAATCCAAGAGATCGAGTCCTGAGATGGCGAAGAAGGCGATGGTTAGGCTGAAGACATGGCGAGAAATCAACGATAATATTAATCATCAAATGTAACAACACTTGCATTGAGTGCAATACCGGCTGACATCGAGAGTGGCCAAAGAGTGCGGCAGTACTTCCAGACAGCGTTTCAAATACTTGCCGTGAAGTCGATTGAATCCATCTCTTGTCCTGTCATTCCTCAACACTTCCATTCAATTAACTGCTAATCAATTAAACCCACAATTAATGCAAACCGACTGCACATCACTTCACAGGCATTACTAATGCATTGCAAACACAACAACACTATTCATATAGAAATCAATTACGATATCATAATATAGACCGTAATTAATGGTGTCTTTGAGTCCCACATATAGTGTTTGAAAGCATTTGATCCCATAATCATGTCTTGGCTGTTGAGGACGGGTTTGAGGCCAATGAGCGGTGTGTTGTCGTGGATGGAACCGATACAAGTGATGAGTTGTCGGCATAACGTTCGCTGGCATTTCGAGAAACCCAATGAAGTGAAACGGATCCGAACCCATGGATGGCTGAAGAGGATCTCTACTCCAAAGGGACGTCAGATTATAATGAGACGCATCCTTAAAGGCAAACAAGTCTTAAGCCATTGATTGCATCCACCAATGAATGGATGAGTCAATCGCTATACCTCTCATACATCTAATGTTTATTATTATAACTATAACTGTATTTGTATTGAAAAATATTATAGAAATTACAATAGAATATCAAAAACATTAAATATCACTGTTTTTTGACAATTAAATAACCATTGAATGGATTAAGCGATTGATTTGAGCGCTTGTCAGTCAACGATGTGTGCCGTGTGTTGGGCCGAGTGGTCGGCGGAGTCGACCATCACTTGAGTGGCCACTTCTATTTGGTCCGAAAGGGCCGTGTATTTGGTGTTTTCAAATGGTCTCAAATGAATGATTAGATGCATATTCACGTCATCCCAACGGCTCAGATACGGGAAATTGCCGCCACTCTTGAGGTGAGCTCTTCGCGCCTCTGGATATAGTTTGTATAACTCGTCGCGAACTGATTGACTCAGAGCGCACTGATCGAACACCTGAGCCATTATATACCACCATTTGGTTACACAATTGATGCCAACAATCATATAGAAAAACTTACATCCAATAGAGTTATGTCTAACTTCTGGAGTCTTTGCGGTTCGACATAACAGTTAAGACAATTGAGAGTCAGTCTGGAGGCCAACTCTGGTTGAGATAAAGTGTCCAATTTGTCTGACATAAACTCAATGGCGTCTAAAATGGATTGATCTCTAGAAGTGGTTTGCATAGAACTGCTGCCCATCACTAACTTCTTAAGCAGAGGCGTCGGAGTCATCCAAAACCTAATCAATGAGACAGAGATGTGAGAAGTGAGTGATGAGGGGAGCAATGAATGGCTGACATAACGGCTGAATCCGTGTGATTGAAGACCGAAGTGTCGGCAAAGCTATTGACAAGAATTAAGGACTGAATGCGTCGGCTCTGGAAAGTGCTTTCGGCGAACTTCTGGGCCAGAAATCCGCCCAAAGAGGCGCCCAAGACGTGCACTCTTTCGAGGTTTAGGTGATCCAGAAGTTTACAAAAACCATTTATGAATTCTCTTAGTGTCCAATACACGGGATATTCGGCGGCAATCACTCGATAGCCTCTCGAAGACAGATCCATCAGCTGTCGGAAGAATACATCAGCGGTTCCACTGACTGGCGGCAGACATATCAACGGAGAGACAACATTCTTAGGCCCGCAATCATACAGTGACCACACTTTGGACGAGTCGTCGTCGACAATGATCTTCTTGAGTGAGATATTGCTTCTGAATGTCTGATAGTCTGAAGACAGGCCTATATTACAGACTCTCTCCGACTTCACGGCCAATAGATTTAACCTAAATATACACACAATTAAAGTGACATTTCATTGTCAGTCAACACAAGTCAACACAAGTTATTGAAATATATCCTACACTTTGTCCACCATTTCATCATTTGATTGCTTCACTACTTTATTATGCGATCACTTGTTGTGACACTTTTGGCACAAATCTATTCAATTGATTACTAATTGAAATGATATTTAATTAATTGTAATATAAATACAAAATGGTTTTATAAGTGATTGTTTGAAATGACATAACAATAGTAAACATGAAATGCCATTCACTGTCAGGTTTGTAAACATAGAGCCATTCATAGATGACATTACTATTCTGTTCGCATCATTCATATTCTGGTAATCCTCTATTCACTGCATTTCATCATAATTGTATCATGGTCACTTTTATTTAATAAGATTAACACGTAAGATTTATTACTTTGAACTAATTAATTTTTAAAAATATGTGTTATTAACTGATTTTTTACTGATAATATACCATAAAATGTTAATATATTATAGTCAACATAGCTTACAATTTACATCTAAAGAATTACAGAAGATTTACATCTTAAGAAATATTCTAAATATAAATGAATAGTTTGTACTTCATACATTATTTGCATTTTATTCATATATAGTGTATAGTATATATAAATATATAAGTGAGGTTTATTATAAACCTGAATAAACTGTTAATCAGGAATAATAAATACTTAAAAACTTTTATTAAAGTACTATTTTAAGTATTTATGATCACTATAAATATAGTAATGCTTATCGTGAATAATAATTTAAAAATTAGCTTGGTGATTCAACAATCACGTTTAGTTAATTTTAGTCTCCCCTCCCCCTAAACAGTGTTGGTTATAGTTATTAATTGTTAAAGAATTATATATTATGAAGTCCACACCAAACACTATGATTTGTAATTACTTATGATTATAGATAATGTTAATATTGGTTCGAATGGATTATTGTGGGCCTGTATTAGTCACATCATTGGTATATTTAATAAAATATTGTTTATAATGAATTATAGATGGATTTATTGGAGAATTAAAAATTATGTTTTAATTCATATTCAATTGATATCAATATTACAATACATCACTATATTTGAGATTTAGGTATTGAGTTAACAGAGAATACAAAAGGATTTATCAAAATATAACACTTGAAAGACAAGAAGGACTTCACAATAGTTATTGTGAATAATTATTGTGAAATTATGGCAAATGTTTGGCTATTTGTTCCCAAAATACGTTTACAATGAGAGGATTGAGTCAATTATTGAGCAATAATTGCCTTAAAATCTGGTCACGACTTCCTGTGACGGAACTGATGTTTGCTTTTGCAAAGACAGGCCGAACGCATGAGTCGAGTGAACACTTGTCTGATCCGTGACATCCATTGGCCCGATTCGAAGCATTGGTTATCACTTCGCGACGTCTTTATCAGACACTTATCGATGTCTGCAAAACAATTCACGTCTAAATCATTGCATTTTATTTGATCCATAAGAATAAGATAATAACCTATTGGTTGTGAGTTAAGTGTTTCGAGCGCTGAACTGACAATAGTTTTGATATATTCTGTGGCAAAGTCTCTCATGTCATCCAATTCTATGATCTAATATAACAAATATATCACATTTTATTATAATTTA